GCACGTCTTGTAGCATCACAGCATCTGTGTGCCTGTGAACATAACCACCCAAGTGAGCAATGTTATCAGTCAGTCTAAAGGCATCACTGGGTTCCTTGTGAGCTCATAGATCCCCAATCCTGGAACCAACCAGGTTCCAGGGAAAAGGAGGAAGTGGGTGCATGCCAGCCACGTCTCCTGAGCACCCACTGTGCCAGGCCCTGCTCCAGCCACCAGGACATAAGCAGCACACAGAGCAGACACAATCCATCCCCTCCCAGGTTTGAGAATATTCAGATGTTAACCTCAGTGGCTGATTGTCTGCTCTGTGCCAAGCCCACATTCACGGCAAACAGCCCCTTACTGCTTCAGAAAAGGTCGGGGCCCTGATGGCCTTCTAGGGTACTTACCCAACAACCCAGAGGGCCAGCCGGGCTGGAACCTGTTCCCATCCTTGTAGGAGGCACAGAGTAGGAAATGTCCTGCCCTAGGCACCTCACTTAAAAGAGGCAGAACCAGGTGAGACCCCAGGTAGAGGGAGGGAGGGAGGGAGGGAGGGAGGGAGGGAGGGAGGTGTGTGTGTGTGTGTGTGTGTGCGCGCGCGCGCGCGCGCGCGCCCGCCCTTCTTCAACCCCCAGTGTGCAGGCTTGGTACACAGTGCCCACTCACGGTAGGCCTTTGTGAGCACAACAATGGGCTCTGGGAGGAGGCCCTTTGGGCTCTCCCCCAACCCCAGCCAGGTGGCACTAGGAGGAGATTCCTGCCCCTCTGACTCTGGGGAGGTGGGGAGCCTCACCCCCTCTTCTAGGGTCATGTTGTCATATCGGGTGGATCCCTCTCTCTCGTCCTGGGGACATCCTGGCTCTCACTGGAAGCTGCATTCATTGCCCAGGCCTTGTGGAGACAGGCTCTAAGTGGGGTTCTGGGACACTGGCTGCTGTTCCTGTGACAGCCTCCAGCCCCAGCTTGGGGTGGAGGAACCCTCCTGTCAAACGGGCAAGGACAGTGTGGGCTGACTGGCTCGGGCCACCATGCTGGTGCTGTGTGGGGAGACAGAGAAACATCCCTGTGTGGGATGAGTTTGCTGGAGTGAGGGTGAGGAAGCTGGTTACTGGTGGGAGATGCTGCTCAGGCCCGTGTTGCCCTTAAGTGAAACCCCCAGAGTTATGCCCTGAGCTCCCCAGCCCCAGGATGGACACTTGCGGCGGGGGGAGGGGGGGGTGGCAGGTCTAGGAAGACTTGTCTAGGCATGAATGCTTTGGGGGAGTTCCCCATGAGTGTACTGTGGGAGCACTGACCACACTCCAGGGGTGGGGTGTGGCAGGGCTGGGCCAGCCAGGGAAGTTCTGAAGGCACAGATGTTTGAAGTGCATCTTGAAGTGTGAGTTGGGGCTCACAAGGGGGATTTGGGGATATGGTGGAGGAAAAGGTGGTGAAGGCCGGAGGAGCCCATAGCAGGAGCTCAGAGTACAGGGGCCGAGGGCTGGAGGGGCTGGTGGGGCTGGGTGGGTGAGAGATAGCATTGGCCTGGGAGGTGTGAATGGGCTCCAGTGGGAGGAACGCCCTGGGCCCAAGGTGGGGATTTGCAGAAGGAGCATGTGAGGCTGGTGCTGATCTAGCAAAGCTCTCCTCCATCTTTAACCACAGCTAACAGCCACCTGCCTCTGCGTCCAGCCACTGGGCTGGAGGGATATGGGGAGAAGAGAGGGTTCTGGCAGGGAATGGTTGCCACTAGTCCAGAGGAAGAATTTGTTGTCCTGAGGCCTCATTGGGCCTATGGTCATCCCCAACCTCCCTAGTGTGTACAGGAATTTCAGGGATCCTGTTATAATGCAGGCTTTGATCAAGCAGGTCTAGGGCAGCAAGATGCTACATTTCTACGAACAAGCTCTGGAGAAGCTGCCCCGGCTGCTCCTGACTGAGCTGAGGTGGGTGGTGGTTGTCCTATGCACCCTGGTACAAAGGGGTTTATCCTCACTGCCTGGCACTGTACCTGCTTCTTAAGTGGGCATTCAGCAAATGTGAGTGAATGAGTGAACCAACCAACAACTGTGGATGAGGCATGCCTTCCCTGATAACAGGAAGGCCTGTTCAGAGAATGACAAAGGTCAGAGCCACTGAGGTTAATTTCTCTGTTCCCTCAATGAGACTGCTTTCCCTGGCACGGGCCAAGGGGACACTAAATATTAACCTCACACTGACCACTGACGAGTTGCACAGCTGGGACAGTAGCCAGGCGTTGTGGACATGGGATCCTATCATGAGTTAAGTTTGTAATCCTGACTTCTCTCCAGAAAACTTGAGGGAAGTTCCTGGCAGGTAACAGAACTTTTGTGTTTGTTTAGCCAGGGCTGACCTAAAGGGGAGGAGGTAGTGAGACCATTTTCGCTGATAACAGCCTGGCCTGCTTCCAGTGATTTTCATAGGTCACATAAAATCTTTCGATCATAATATTTTACATAAGGGTTCCAAGATGGGCAGGATGGGCTTATTGGATTTGCCTTGAAATCGTGAGCTTCCAAATAAACTTGGTGCCCAGGCAGCTGCTGTGGACTGAAGGAGTGCACCTGGCCATGCTGCCGTCTCTTTTTGTTTTCCTGGCTTAAAGTTTCTATTAAACCAAAAAAAAAAAAAGTGTCCACATTACTTTTGAGCCCGTATCAAAGGGGTGTTCTTCTTCCTGAATTAAAATAACTCTCTGGGAAGGAACTGAGAGACTTATGGCACCTTTGCTTTAAAGATGGAGCTTAGGAAAGTTTTTCATGTTGGAAACTATAGAGGGGCTGGTGGCCCCTCTGTGTTTGCGAGAGGTGGTGACCCAGTCCCTGTAACACACATAGTCCCTGTGGGCGGGTGCCACAGAGGAAGTGCCTGCAGCCCGGCAGCCCCAGTGTGAACTGGGAGCCTCCATTTTCTGACAGCACCTGAACCCTACCTCACTTCTCAAAATGAAGGCTGCATGTCACAAACCGGTTAGAACTGGCTGTTGCCATGGTTTTCACGTTGGAAGGCACAGTTAAAGGGTCACATGACCAAGGAGGGAAATGCCTTTGTCACGTGACTTTTTGGTGGCCTGATTAGCATACAGGAAGTTCACTCCCTGCTGGCTGCTGGGATGTTGAGTGATCATTGATGGGAGATGATGTCATCTCTTGGACGAGTTATTGATTAGTCTCATCCAAGATGGGACCTGGGAGTGCTGTGGTCAGAGTGGCCATCTCAGGGAGCTTCAGCCTCCAGATGGTCTGGGTCCCTCACGCTGTCCTCTTCCCTCAGGCACATTTCAGTTTTATTAGACATCTCACCTTCAGAAGTACACGCTCTCATTGAGATGATAAAAAGTGATAAATCCCGGTTAGATCACCATAGTCTCAGCACACACTTGCTTAGGAAGCGCTTGCAGTCCAAATCTAGACATGGTTCTGCCTGGGCTCCTGCTCTGACCTGGGAGCCCACCTGGACTGGGACCAGCACCACAGCTCCTGTGCTGGGCCTTGTATCATCTTGGTGTCTGTGTGTGCAGCCAGAGAACCTGGAATTGGAGCCCCGAAGTCACCTTGAAAGTTGATCTTGGGTGGAGTGGGCAGCCAGCAGGAAGATAGACTTGAAAGAGCAGTTCTGGAATTGCGTTGGTCTTTGGTTTGGTGAGGCCCTGTCCTGGGTTACTTTATAAACAGCAGCTGGTTTCTGGACTTGAGATGAGGGCTGATAACCCCAATGAGGGGTTGTATACCTTGAAATGGGTGCCTTTTTGTCCACTCCTCTGATCTCTCTTGAGAGGCCAGCTGGCAGCAGTGCTGGTTAAATCAGATCAGGGCTAGAAGTGTTGAGGTGCAGCCACCATGCAGCTCTGGGAGGCGGGATCAGGATTGGCCAGGGTTGGGGGTGGGTGTCCAGGGCTTAGGGGGAGTCAACAAACCTTCGGTGCCTGGTCCTCTGTGAAGGTGAAGCTCACTCCTGGAATGGAAAGGGTGGTTCAGAGGGCTGTTCAAGCACCAGTTCTGCATCCGAACTCCACCCCCTCTTAGCTGGGATGTTAGTGGAAGGAGTGGGACAACTTTGAGCTGTTAATCCCAGTTAACTTCCTTGAGTTTGTTCTCTGGGCCACAGTGCCACCTAGCGGACATGTTTAATCCTTAGTTAGTTTAGCTGCTGACGGAAGGAAGGGATCCGATTCCTTCAACACAAGTGCTGAGGCCAGATCTTCAGGGGAAGTTTACATTGAGCCCTCAGCAAACAGAGCCTCTTGGTTGGGGTGAAGTGCGGTGTCAGGGACCCATTGGTTCTGTGTGTGGGGTCAGTGACACCATAGCAGGGGCTCAAATGTGCATATATGTCTTAGGGGACTTGAGGGCGGGCAGGATTTGGGCTAAGAGGGTGAGAGGGTAATGGGCAGGGGTGGCTTGGCACCAGACCAGTCAACCCACTGTTAGAACGTGAAGAGTGGGAGTTGCTGGAAACCAGTTTGTGAGCAGATGAGGTAGGTGAAGAGTACCCAGATCTGCGAGAGAAAATGTGTTCCGGGTTCTAGCCTGTTTCACAACATGCAGTCACTACTGACACATTGCCACTGACAGGATGAAGAGGCCCCATGTGGCCCAGGAAGGACTATCCAGCAGTCAGCCTCAGCCAGGATCCAGAGCCAATCATTTTTAATCCGACACCTAGCCACGTGGTGTTTTCCAAAATGTCTGTGTCACTCTCAGACACACAGGTGTCCTCATTCCTGGGAACACAGAGGTGGGTCCCAAGAACAGTCCCAGCTTGGAGGGGCCCAGCCGTAAACCGGCAGGTTTGGGCGCTGCATAGTGAGTTGTGAGAGAAGGCAACCTGGTTGATTGGTGGAGAGGCCATGAGGGAGGACACAATGAGAGAGGCTGTGGAGGCCAGTGGGGCAGCTGTACTCGCCACCTCATTGCTCTGGATCTGGGCATCTGCAGGGTGTGGGTGTGGGACTCTGGGGAATGGTGTCTAGCACAGTCAGGACACTCTGGTAACAACCTACTACCTCTGCTCCATAGTGACATGAAGTCCGAGAGGAGAGCCCCCTCGCCTGATGTGATCGTGCTCTCTGACAACGAGCAGCCTGTGAGCCCAAAGGTGAATGGGCTTCCAAAGGAGGCCTTGCAGGAGACCAGCACCGAGGCCCTCATGGTGAGCCTTGTCCCTGTGCTGGGGACCACCCCGCCCAGCAGCATCTCTTGAGTGCAGCTGGTGGCAGTGGGGCCTATGCCCCTGGCTGCCTGCCTTCCCCCTCAACCCTGTTTTCTCCTTGCAGAAAAGCAGTCCTGAAGAACGAGAAAGAATGATTAAGCAACTGAAAGAAGAGTTACGATTAGAAGAAGCAAAACTTGTTTTATTGAAAAAGTTGCGGCAGAGTCAAATACAAAAGGAAACTACCACCCAGAAGGTATGTGCACATCTGTTCCCTCTCAAGAGTCAGCGGGAGCCATTCAGAGCCAGAGGCTGGTCATGGGGGGCGATGGGGGTTCCTCGGGGGCATGAGGACCAAGGTCTGAATGGAAACCTGCAGATTGAAGTTCACATTTTGGATCTAGCTGAAAGGATGTCAGTGAGAGAATAACAGTACTACTCAGTCTAGAATGTTCCAGATCTGAATATATAAAACCCCCTAAAAAAGCATCAAGAGAGGCTGGCCGGGTGGCTCAGTTGGTTAAGAGCTTGCTCAAGAGTACGAGCTCTGAGCAGCAGGGTTGCCAGTTGGATGCCCAGCCTGAGCTGAGCTGCCGCTGAGCTGCCAACAGGTAGCAGGATGGCTCAGCTAAAAAAAATTAATTAATTAAAAAAAAAAGCATCAAGAGACTGGAAAACAGATAGGTATCTGAAGTGTTGGAAGCAAACTTCTGGGTTCAGAGCTCTGTCCCAAGTCCATCTTGAGAAAAGCCGCCTACTTTGGGTGGCCAGGCTGGCCACAGAGGCTGCTGTGGGATTGTGGACAGAGGCCCTGTCCTGGGCTTCCCACTCCTGCTCCCCTGGTGCCTGAGGCTCTTTGTGGTGCTGCTCTGAGTGCAGCTCACCATGTAGGGCAAGTTCATGTTTTGTTGGGTTTCTGGAAAAGTTTCTGGTCGGTAATGCAGCTGCCTTCCTGCTTGTCGTAACCACTATCGCTAGAGCAGAAAGTAAGTGCATGTCTGGCAGGATGGCTGACAGAGTATTTAGAACACATGTCCCCTAAGGGAGAGGGACAGGAGAAGAACAGTCACTGGTCCGACTTGGGGTTTATTTGAGCTCCCTCCCCATCCAGTCAGCAAGTGGACTCGGCCTGACATCTGTTCATCTCGGGGTGAACAGAGCCTGCCTATTACTTGTTTCCTTGTCAGTTGTTGAAGACACAGTGAAGTGACCCAAGTCCCTTCCCTAGTGGAATATGTGACTTTAAGAATCCCAAGGTTGGGGTTAACCTGTCCAGGCCCCAGGTACTTTCCCATCACCAGCCCTTCCTGTCCCCTAGAGTGCAAGACTGGCGCCTGAACTACATAGTGATGCCAAGATGCCAAGATCCCCCAAGGGTGAGGAATGTTGGAAAAGCTCTCCTTTACCCAGTTTCTGCCGCAGATAGACAGGGTCACTTACCAGGCTGGAAGCAAAACCTTTGAGAGCCTGGTACCTTTGGAAGAAAAAGAAAATCAGTCCTCTGTTAGGATTAGGTGAGGGGTGGGGAAGTGGGTTGGTGGCCCTCTCATCTCCCATGTGTCCTGCTCTCTTGCAGCCCACAGGCTCCGCTGGGAGCACTGTGACCACCCCTCCTCCGCTTGTGCGGGGCACCCAGAACATTCCTTCCGGCAAGCCATCACTTCAGGTCAGTATTCCTTTCTCATCAGACTCCTGAGCAGCCCTGCGAAAGGCTGCCCGTTCCTTCTGATTAAACTGGAGTGAGGTTTTTCTGCCAGCAGCCCCAAAATAAAGCATGTTCACGTTCTCAAAATAGGCCACCGTTGACCTCATAAAGCACACCAACGCATGGAATGCCCCTCCCATGAGTGTCCCTAGTGAGACTGGAGAGAGGACTAAGATCTTACCTAGACAGACTGGGCTCCCTTCGTCCTGAGTCTCCCGAGGGCAGTTGTGGGGCCCAGCTGGGCCTTGTCCCAGTGCAGCTCACAGCTGCCTCTACCCACAAGGTGAGACAGGCAGAATTCCTACTCCCAGCTACAGGACTGAGGTCTGGACAGGGGCCTAGCTCCCCTCAAATAGGCCCAAACTCCCAGCTCATACCAGCAGGTGGCAGCGCCAGTCCTGGTTGGCTGGACTCTTGCTATGGTGTAGCTTGTGTCCTGACTGAGGCCAGGTGTACGAGGCTCTTGTTGGAGTCCATGTTCCTTGTTCTTTCGTGTTTTTTCTCTTACCCCCTTCTTTTTTTGTTAACAAGTATGTGCTTTTACAAAAACAGCAAACCTATTTGTTAAAAAAAAAGTCATGTAAGATCTGGGGATTGGTATTGTTGACAGACCTCTTCGACTCGAATGCCTGGCAGTGTCATTCCGCCGCCCTTGGTCCGAGGCGGGCAGCAGGCATCCTCGAAGCTGGGAACTCAGGCGAGCTCACAGGTCGTCATGCCCCCGCTCGTCAGGGGGGCCCAGGTGAGCAGGGCACACACTCAGGATGGGTACGGCCAGGAAGCCCCAAGCAACCGTCTACCTCGTGAAACAACCCTTCCCTGTGCCTCCCTTAATCGTCCCTCATTGTCTTGTCCCTACCCAAACTCACAGCAAATCCACAACATCAGACAACATTCCAGCACGGGGCCACCGCCGCTCCTCCTGGCTCCCCGGGCGTCCGTGCCCAATGTGCAAATCCAAGGGCAGAGGATCATCCAGCAGGGCCTTATCCGTGTCGCCAATGTCCCCAACACAAGTCTGCTCGTCAATATCCCGCAGGTGAGGGCCGTGCTATGCCAGTGTAGGGAGTGTGCTCTGCAGCTGCCCCCAAAAGGCCCACAGTCCTAGGGCACAGGGAGACTGTGCAACATGACCTGCTTGCTCTCTCAGAGCCTGATGAGGCCTTGGACATGCTGTGGGGTTTGCACTTGAGCTTTTCAGGGCCTGCTGGGCATATGAAGGTCATGTGCAGCAGTCCTGTGTTCAGATCTGTCTCATGGCAGAGGGGGAGAGCTGCTGAGAGGGTGAGGTGTGCAGACCTGAGCTGAGGGGTTGGGGGATAGATGGGGCCAGGTGATGCATCTGATGGGCCTAGAGACGGCTCTGGGGGAACCAGAGCCCTCCCCATCTCAGGCACAAGCACGTGAGGAGAGCATGTCTGCAGATTCCTCATAGCACCAGCATGTCTATTCTTAGCCACACATCCCTTCACCTCTGGACAGAGCCTCCGAGATGGGGTGGGTCTGTCCCCACCCAACAGAGCCAGGAAGATGGGACTGGGGGTGGGCGGGCTGGAAGCAAGAGCCTCATTGACAGATAAAATTACTGGGTCTGCAGGGACTTTTGCTGATGGGCAAATTAGTTTCTCTGCCTCCATTGGCCTGGTGCGTCCTTGCCTGCCTCCTTCAGATAAACAGGAGCTGGCAGGGCTCTGGGCGCAGTGTCCCTGCCTCCTCTAGGCTGGGTTCAAGTGCAGTCCTTCCACTGCATGGTGTGGCAAAAAAAAAGACTGACCTGTGCAGGCAGTTTATTTACCCCAGTGATCAGATAGATACCTCCGGTGCGCCCAGACCCCGTTCCCAGCTCAGTGTGCCAAGAGGATGAAAAGCAGGCGGAGTGTGAGGGGCTCTGCTCCCAGCGGGGCCAGGAGCCTGAGGAGGAGGAGACAGGGAAGAACTGGCTGGTCGGTCGGGTGGGGGCCAGGCGCAGGCCAAGGTGCTGCGATGGCATCCTCTATGTTGGGGAACCTCGTCAGCTCTGGAGACCCTCTGTGGGGGTGGGGGTCCTCGGAAAGCATCCTGGCCTTCCTGAGCCCCGTGGTGTGTTGTGGGCAAGTTGTCAGTTATGTGTATTTTCCTAGGGATAGTGTATGCAGCTTTCCTCAGATTTCCAAAAGAGCTCTTAACCTTACAAAGTTAAGGGCAGTGGTGAGGTGAGCTCCAGGTTTCTGGAGAGCACTTGACAGTGTTGGGGGTGAGTGGACTGGAGCAAGGAGACAACGGAGTGTTGGCCACTGGGGTCCAGATGAAGATGATAAAGTAGGGCAGGAGCAGCAAGGGTTGAGAGGGGCTGGCACAGGAGCTGTTCTCTCCTGCAACCCCTATGAGGACACGTGAGCTGACTAAAACATTAATGTCTCCAGATGAGCACACACAAAGATATTCGCAAGGGAAATGCCACAGATGTGGCCTGAGTCACCATCCTACCCCTGCAAGGAAGGAGGTCCCCCGGACCTGTGCTGGGAGGAGGGCCAAGAAGGCCACAGAGACAGGACAGTGGTCATGCTGCCTGGGTGGGGTTGGGAGGCCATCACTAAGGGGGTGCCCACTGTCCTGGTTATGATGATGGCTTCATGGGTGTCTTCCTGTGGCAAAATGCAGTGGATCACAGATTTTAAATGTGTAGTTTATTGATTATCAGCTAAGCCTGAACAAGCGTGTGTATAAGATTGGTCATCTTAGAGAGTGAACTGTTTAATGCCAACCCTGCCTGCTGCTTACAGGTGTCAGGCAGCTGGGAGTTTCTACCTTAAGGACTTGATAGTGCAATTAATGGTGCTGACCTGGGCTCTGGGTGCAGTAGTGGGGCCTGCCTCAGGGCAGCGCACCCCCCAGCACTCTGACCAAGTTATTGTCTCCCAAAAGCCCTCCCCGGCCTCGCTGAAGGGGACGACAGCCACCTCTGCTCAGGCCAACTCCACCCCCACCAGCGTGGCCTCTGTGGTCACATCTGCTGATTCTCCAGCCAGTCGACAGGCGGCTGCCAAGCTCGCGTTGCGCAAACAGCTGGAGAAGACGCTGCTAGAAATCCCCCCTCCCAAGCCCCCCGCCCCAGAGATGAACTTCCTGCCCAGTGCTGCCAACAACGAATTCATCTACCTGGTTGGCTTGGAGGAGGTGGTACAGAACTTGCTGGAGACGCAAGGTGAGTGGGCCCTGGGCTAGGGCTGTTTTCATCTCTTGCCACTGAAGTTTCTTTTATTACATAGGTTTTTTCAATGCACAGCACCTGTCGGTGCACCCAGAGCTGTCCTGAAGGTTGGATATTATGGATGACGTTTTGTCATCAGCTCAGCTTGCTGTGAGGTTTGATAGCTTCTTAAAACATTGCAGGCCCCTTTCCTGTTAGTACCTCTTGAAAGTCAGGCCCTGGAGAGGCCCAAGGTCCCACATGCATGGTCCAAGGAGATGAGCAGTGGCCCTGTGATGTTGGTGTGCCATGGGGTGGGTAGGCGGGCAGTGATGAGGAAACCCTGTGGGAGGCGGACATGACAGGCTTTGCTTCCAGACAGGAAATCATCAGAGAGATGGAACTTACCAGAGCCTTGAGTAATTAGAGCCCCCAATATGGGAGAGGGACGCCTGAATCACAGTCACTCAATCCCCCTCCTTGAAAGCAGTTTAGAAAGTGCACCTGTGTGTTAGGGACTTTTAGGAATAAAAGGGCATAAATAGGATAGTGAGCAAAAACAATATTAGAAACAGAGGTAGAGGCCATGTTGGCCCTTAGGGGACCTCCACCAGATGCTGAACTGGGGACATGTATGCACTGAGATGGAGCTGGTGACTTGAATTGGGCAGCCAGCCTGAACCCTCTTCCTGTGTGATCTTGTCGGATGCTCAGAGCTCAGGGGGAGGGGGAGGCTGAGCCGTAACTGGCCCAGAAGAGCAGGGGAAAGGCTGATGGGCTCCATCAGTCATGCTGCCTTGAGGCACCGCCGGGCCCAGAGCCGGGCCCAGCGGAGGGCAGTGCAGGCTCTAGCCCGGCCTGGATGTGTCTGGCCTCCTTTGATGTCTCCTTTATGGTGAGGTGATATTATTGGCAAAACAGCTGTTGCAAGGCCAGTACAGAGAGGATGGGCAGGAGGCTGAGTGAGGACTCGATGCCTCCCAGTCCTACACTGTGAATGGGCAAGTCAGGAGAAGCCAAGCCAATGGCACTGTTTCTGAGAATTCATAACAAGGATGCCTGACCACAGCGTTTCCAAAACTTCATGAGGCCGACCCAATGTCTGTACAGTTGGTGCCCAATACGTTTTTGCGGAAAGGACAGATGACATCAACTGGGGCTTTGGTTTCCTGATGCCTGCTGGGCCACATGGTCCAGGGCACGGCTCCTGCTCTGTCCCACATCCCACCTGGGGGTAGTAGGGGTTCTGACTAGCATCCTGTTCCTTTGACGTGAGCCTATGGGTCTCCCCCTGCAGCGGGCAGGATGTCGGCGGCTGTTGTGCTGTCCCGTGAGCCCTACATGTGTGCACAGTGCAAGACGGACTTCACTTGCCGCTGGCGGGAGGAGAAGGGCGGCGCCATCATGTGTGAGAACTGCATGGCATCCAACCAAAAGAAGGCACTCAAAGTGGAACACACAAGCCGGCTGAAGGCTGCCTTCGTGAAGGCGCTGCAGCAGGAACAAGAGATCGAGCAGCGCCTCCTACAGCAGGGCACGGCTGCTGTGCAGGCCAAGGCTGAGCCCACCAGCGCCCCGCACCCCACACTGAAGCAGGTGAGTCCTTGTCGGGGAGCCAGAGCCACAGCCCAGAGGCCTAGGAGCTGGCTGGGGCCTCGCCCTCCAGGAGAGGGCCCTGTTCCCTGGCAGGGAATTGTTGCTAGCAGGCAGGATGTTCCGGCGTTCTGTCCCACACTCGGCAAGCATCTGCCTGATTGTTAACTATGCATCTAAATTACATTTAATGGTGGTGTTTGATGGTGAAAATACTAATTTGCAGTCTCTTTAGATTTGTAGCTTTCACGTGCAGTGTGCCAGCCGACAAGTACTTCTTGTCTAAAAGGACTTTTCTGAAAGCCACATTGAAATACAAAAGGGGCATTTGGAAGAAATGTTCTAGCTAAATTAAGGAAAGAAGCAAGTTTGAAATTGTTTTTTTGGCTTTTTTTTTTTTTTAATGCTCTATTTCCCCACCCCTGTAAACCCAGAGTTCCCCGTTGGCATTTTTTTGTACCCTTGGAAGTTATTTGTAATTCACTAATGACCACATCTTCTCAAGGTCCCTACGTAGTGGGAGGCCATACTGCCCTCAGGAAACAGCCTGTCCTGTGGGGACTAGGCCTTGTGTGGCCACAGCTGCTGCCCTTTGGTCACTCTAGGTCACCCTGGGCCGGCCTGTGGACAGTGCTGACCTTGGTTTCAACCCCCGTTTGTATAGGTCATAAAACCCCGGCGTAAGTTGGCGTTCCGCTCAGGAGAGGCCCGCGACTGGAGTAACGGGGCTGTGCTACAGGTCAGAACTGCAGTGCTGGGAGCCCCCTGCACCGCCACCAACCAGCCCTCACGCCCCAGACCGTGACCACGTCAGCTGCCTGTGTCTTTCTCTCTCTCTCTTATTTCCTTCCCCTACCCCTCAGTATAACTTATCTGGTCTCCTGATTTTGGACTTTAGAGACCCCATGTGGGTGGGAAGAGGTCGGCCAGAGCAAGGAGAGGCTGCACTGAGCGTCTCGCCCTTTGCCCCCACCTTCCCCACATGAGCCATTACACCTTCTCTCCACTATAGGCCTCCAGCCAGCTGTCCCGGGGCTCGGCCACGACACCCCGAGGTGTCCTGCACACGTTCAGCCAGTCACCCAAACTGCAGAATGCAGCCTCAGCCACAGCCCTCGTCAGCAGGACCGGCAGACATTCCGAGAGAGCCGTGAGTGCCAGCAAGGGCAATGCCACCTCCAACTGGAAGAAGGCACCCCTGAGTACAGGTGGGCGGGCCCCACGGGGCTCAAAGTACAGATCTTGCCATGGTTGGGTCCATCCCTTCCTTATTTTTAACAAAGGTACATACACACGAGGTAAAGAACAATGGCACAAAGGGCCCTGAATCCTCAGACCTGTTTCCTGACAGCAGCTGCCTCCGAATCTCTTTTGTTCACTATTAAATAGGATGCCCTGAACAAGTAGCAACCCTCACTCTGTACTCAAACTCTCAGCCTTGAAACACGAAACATGGGGCAGACATGGTTCAGGCATTGTCACCCCTGCCCACCTTCCTATAGTAGAGAATGCCTGTTTTTACTGTTACGTTGTGCCTTTCCTGTTGTACTAACTTTATTTCTTGCTCACCCAGACAGTGTCCTTTATTCCCTGCTCTGTGGGACACTTCCCACCTTGTAGCTTGGGCAGATCAGGTGGTACAAAGTGCAAAATGACAACAAGAATTCAGGGAGGAGGAGGTGTACCCTGGGGCTGGGACTAGGATTTTAACTGAGGTGGGTAGCAAAGGCCTCTGAGCAGACAGCATTTGAGGAACGATCCAGGGGATATGGAGACCCTTGGGTGGGTTATTTCAATCTTATGCAGCCCCACCGTCCTGGGCCATCCTGTTTTTTATTTTATTTTATTAAACTTATTTATTTTATTTTATTTTATTAAGATTTTATTGGGGAATTGGGAGAGGGGAACAGCGTTGGGGAATCGAGGAAGGGGGACAGACAGGTAGACAAATTGCTGTTTTGTTCTTCAGTCTAATTGTGGAGGACATCGCTTCACTGGCCCATGTTGGTATGATCATTGTGCTCTTCCCGGGTGAGGCAATCGGTCGCTGGTCATTGGTCAGCCACTCACTGCAGCTCACAGCAGCTCTCGCCGGCTGCTAGCCGCTCCCTCTGGCTGCCAGCCACTCATGTAGCTCAGGACAACCCACTGCAGCCCCACTGCAGCCTAAGCCATTGCGGGTGACTCACAGCAGTCCAGCTCCAGGTCGATGTTCATCATCTTAGCTGTAGAGGGCGCAGCGTCACTGGCCCTTAATGTGGGTTCCAAACCACTGCCTGCTGCTCAGAGCTGGTGCTCCCAAGCAAGCTCTTAACCAACTGAGCCACTCGGCCGGCCCTAAATTTATTTTTTTAATTAAATTTATTGAGGTGACATTGGTTAGTAAGAGTTTCAAGTGTACAATATTGTAATATGCCTGTTTTATAATTTATTATGTGTTGTTATTAAGATGAAAGTTCGATATTTCTTGTGACCATCAAAAACTGGAAAATGAAAGGTAGGCACAAAAGACTGAGTGAAGGAGGTGGGTGAGATTGCTTGTTGTAGGAGCGAGTGTATGCTGCGCCCCTATAGGAAGAAGAGGCGCCATCATGAGAGGGACCCTAGTCAAACCTGGGAAAGCTGGGCTGTCTCTGCAAATGAAACACAGGAACCCATTGTGCGCAAAGCTGACCACGGGTTAGAGACAAGCTTGAGTCTCAGAGCCTCCCTCAGGAGAGGAGCTCAGGAGAGGGAGGATGTTTATGGCCCACAGAAGAATTGGGGCCACCTGGAGAGCAGAGAGCATTTGTGAACAAACCAGGCAGAGATACTTTTGTTTAGCATGTTTAAGATACAGCTAAGAATTCACAGGCTTTTCAGAAATTCCTCTTGTATGAAATTTGAAAGCATATGAAATCGGTGGGAAAAGTCAAGTATAAGTGTGTGCATGTGTACACTTACAGCAACTGTGTGAAAACCGTGTCTGCACTTAAAAGTAATGTTTGAAAGGGAATATGAAGGAATAAATGCGTTCAGTGGATGGATTAGAGGTAAAAGTTTCAAGGCTTAGAAGCTGTATTTCCCAGGAGAGTTCTGCCAGCACTCCTGATTTATCCTGGTTTCCTGGGTGGTGATTTGAGAGAAACTGGGTGGTATCTAGTTGCCAGTGATGCCTTGAATATGCAGGGAGGGTGCCTTGGTGCATTCAACTTCAGAACCCTTGTTGCACAAAGTGTATTAATCTCCACCAAAAATACTCTGGGGAAACGCAGTCACTGGGGGCCCTGCTGCAGCTGGGGACCCATGGCAGTCCTCAGGCTTGGCCAGCCAAAAACCTAAGTGTGCTAGTGGGGGGTAGGGGTGGGGGGTCCTCTATTTTCCAATTATAAAAGCGATACTTGTTCATTGGGGGAAATTAGAGGATCTAAAAAAAAAAGATGACAATGGCTATTACTTTCTACCCCGGAAGAGCAAATGCAGCACTTAAGGGCTTTCCTCAGTCTCCCTCTTTACTCGCATGTCACATATGTGTAAACGCGTGGCCTACAGAGGTATCATGCTGATTTTGCCACTCCATGTCCCTCTGAATGAATGGTTTAATGAGAGAACATTACCCTATCTTTTTTTTTTTTAAGATTTTTTATTGGGGAATTGGGGGGGGATGGGAACAGCGCTGGGGAATTGGGGAAAGGAGAACAGACAAGTTGCTGTCATTTTGTTCTTCAGTCTAGTTGTGGAGGACGTTGCTTCACTGGCCCAAGTTGGCACCATCATTGCGCTATTCCCGGGCGAGGCAGATCAGTCGCCGGCTTCTGGA